ATATGTTTATCCAATGACCATTTAAATGCCCTTAAAGTGGGCGAGTCCACTATTTTTGCAGGCAGGGCATTCCACGCCCTTACTACTCTCTGAGTAAAGAACCTACCTCTGACATCTGTCTTATATCTATCACCCCTCAATTTAAAGCTATGTCCCCTCGTGCTAGCCATCACCATCCGAGGAAAAAGGCTCCCACTGTCCACCCTATCTAATCCTCTGATCATCTTGTATGTCTCTATCAAGTCACCTCTTAACCTTCTTCTCTCTAACGAAAACAGCCTCAAGACCCTCAGCCTTTCCTCATAAGACCTTCCCTCCATACCAGGCAACATCCTGGTAAATCTCCTCTGCACCCTTTCCAATGCTTCCACATCCTTCCTATAATGCGGTGACCAGAACTGTACGCAATACTCCAAGTGCGGCCGCACCAGAGTTTTGTACAGCTGCAACATGACCTCATGGCTCCGAAACTCAATCCCTCTACCAATAAAACCTAACATACTGTACGCCTTCTTAACAACGCTATCAACCTGGGTGGCAACTTTCAGTGATCTATGCACATGGACACCGAGATCTTTCTGCTCATCCACACTCCCAAGAATCTTACCATTAGCCCAGTACTCTGTATTCCTGTTACTCCTTCCAAAGTGAATCACCTCACACTTTTCCGCATTAAACTCCATTTGCCACCTCTCAGCCCAGCTCTGCAGCTTATCTATGTCCCTCTGTAACCTGCAACATCCTTCCGCACTATCCACAACTTCACCGACTTTGGTGTCATCCGCAAATTTACTAACCCATCCTTCTACGCCCTCATCCAGGTCATTTATAAAAATAACAAACAGCAGTGGCCCCAAAACAGATCCTTGAGGTACACCACTAGTAACTGAACTCCAGGATGAACATTTCCCATCAACCACCACCCTCTGTCCTCTTACAGCTAGCCAATTTCTGATCCAAACCGCTAAATCACCCTCAATCCCATGCCTCTGTATTTTCTGCAATAGCCTACCATGGGGAACCTTATCAAACGCTTTACTGAAATCCATATACACCACATCAACCGCTTTACCCTCATCCACCTGTTTGGTCACCTTCTCGAAGAACTCAATAAGGTTTGTGAGGCACGACCTAACCTTCACAAAACCGTGTTGACTATCCCTAATCAAATTATTCCTTTCTAGATTATTATAAATCCTATCTCTTATAATCCTTTCCAACACTTTACCCACAACCAAAGTAAGGCTCACTGGTCTATAATTACCAGGGTTGTCTCTACTCCCCTTCTTGAACAAGGGGACAACATTTGCTAGTCTCCAGTGCAAATTGGTATAAATACTTACAAGTGACTTTAATTTACATATAGATTGGACAAACAAAACAATGGTATCATGGAGGACAATTTCCTGGAGTGTGTACCGGATGGTTTTTTATACCAATACGTTGAGGAACCAACCAGAAAGCAGGCTATTTCGGACTGGGTACTATGCAATGAGAAAAGATTGTTGTGCAGGGTTCCATAAGGAAGGCTGATCATAATTGGTAGAATTCTTTATTAAGACGGACAGTGAAGTAGTCAAATCCAAAGCTGATTCTAAATAAAGGAAACTAGGAGGGTAATAAGGCTTGAATTGACAAAGATAGATTAGGGAAATTTACTAAAGGGGTTGACAGTGGATAGGCAATGATTTGATTTATTACTATCGCATGTATGGAGTTACAGTAAAAGTGTTGTCTTGCGTGCTTTACGGGCAGATTGTGCTATACAAGTGCATCAGGGTAACAGAACAGAGTGTGGCTAAAGGGTCCTGACCCGAAATGTCAACTTTCCTGCTCCTCTGATGCTACCTGGCCTTCTGTGCTCCTCCAGCTCCACACTGTGTTATCTCTGACTCCAGTATCTGCAGTTATCATCATCTCTGGGGAAGAAGCTATTTTTTTTTTCTTTATTCATGGGATAAAGGTGTCGCTGGCCAGGGAGCATTTATTGCCCATCTCTAATTGCCTAGACGGCAGTTAACAGTCAACCACATTGCTGTGGATCTGGAGTCATTTGTAGACCAGACTATGTAAGGACGGCAGTTTCCTTTCCTAAAAGGATATCAGTGAACCAGATGGGTTTTTCCAACAATGGATTCATGGTCATCATTGGATTCTTAATTCCAGATATCTATGGAATTTGAATTCCACCATCTGCCGTGGCAGGATTCGAACCTGGGTCCCCAGAACATAATCTGGGTCCAGCAATAATACCACTAGACCGTTGCTTCCACCTGGAATCAGTTTGTACATATTTACAAACGATTATGTCTTCTGCCCTATGAAAGGAAGATAGAAGAGGGTATAAAGAGGGTGGGAAGGGTCTTTGATTATGTTAGTTATTTTCCCAATGCAGTGAGAAGTATAAAGTCAATGGATGGGAGGTTAGTTCGTATGATGGACCGGGCTGTGTTCACGACTCTCTGTGGTTTCTTTCAGTCTTTGGAAGAGCAGTTGCCATACCACGCTGTGATACATCCAGATAGGGTGCTTTCTATGGTGCACCTATAAAAATTTGTAAGAGTCTTTAAATTGTGTATATTTAAATACTGTGTACATGGAAAACAACATTATTCATGCATGTCTGGCACAACACAGAAGAGGAAAGGTGGACCAATCATGGTTTACTAAAAAAAAATTAGGAATAGTGTTAGATCCAAAGAAGAGCCAGAAAAAGCAGCAAGCCTGAGGACTGGCAGCATTTTAGAATGTGGCAGAGGACAAAACATTTAGTCAAGAGGGAGAAAATAGGGTATGAATGTAAAATTGCAGGGAACAGAAACGGACTATAAATGCTTCTATAATAATGTATACAGAAACAAATTAGTAAAGATAAACGTAGACCCCTTACAATTACAAGCTAGGGAAATTACAGATGGGTAACAAGGAAATGGCACAAGAATATAAAGCATACTTTGGTTCAGTCTTCACAAAAGAGGGCACAAATAATCTCCCAGAAATGTTATAGAATCAAGGATCAAGTGAGAAGATGGAACTGAAGGAAATCAGTATTGGCAAGAAAATTATTCTGGGGAAATTAATGGGGTTAAAGGTTCACAGATCACCAGGGCCGCCTCATCTGCATCTCCAAGTACTAAAGGAGGCAGCCCTGGAAATACTGGATGCATTGGTGGTCAACTTCAAAAAATTCTATTCTCTGGAGCAGTTCCTACAGATTGGTGGGTATGAAATATAATCTCACTAATTAAAAAGGGAGGGAGAGAAAAACACAGAATTAAGACCAGTTAGTCTAACATCAGTACTGGGAAAATGCTACAGTCTATTATAAAACACGTGATAATAGAATATTTGTAAAGTATAACAAGATTGGGTAAAGCCAGCAAGGGTTTATAAAAGGCTAATTATGCTTAACAAATCTACTGGAGCTTTTTGAAGCTTTAACTAGTGCAGTTGACAAGGGATGTAGTGAATATGGATTTTCAAAAGGCTTGTAAAAAGGGCCCTCATAAGAGGTTAGTGGGCAAAGTAAAGCATCTGGGATAGGGGGTAATACATTGGCATGGATCATGAATTGGTTGACAGACAGGAAGCAGAGTGGAAATAAGTGGGCCTTTTTCCAAGTGGCAGGCAATTACTAGTGGGGTACTGCAAGGATCAGTGTTTGGATCCCAGCTATTCATGATATATATGACCTGGATGAGGGAAGCAAATGCAACATTATCAAATTTGCAGATAACTCATAATTAAGTGAAATTGAGAGTTGAAGGAGGATTTAAGGCGATTTACGCACGTTCAGCAAATGGGTAAACGCATAACAGCTAAATGCGAAATTATACATTTCGGTGTGAAAACAGAAAGGAATTGTGTTACTTAAATTGTGATATGTTGGCATGATGTACAAAAGGATCTGGGTGTCCTTGCTCAGCAGTCAATGAAAGTAGTCAGGCAATTGCAGCAAGCAGTTAGGAAGGCAAGTGATATATTGGCCTTCACTGAAAGGAGGTGAAGAGTTCAGAAATAGGGATGTCTTACTGCACTGATACAGAACTTTGGTTAGACTGTACCTGGAGCATTGCAGGCAGTTTTGCTCTCCATTTCTTAGAAAGAATACACATGCCAAACAGGGACTGCAGCAGAGATTCACTAGGCCTTTACCAGGGATGGGAGCACTGTCCTGCGAGAAGAAGTTGGTTTAACTGGACCTACATTCATTAAAGATCAGAAGGGATCTGACTGAAATGTGCAAAATTCTAAAATGGCTGGTTAAACTAGATACAGGGAAGACATTTTCCTTAGCTGAGGAATCTAGAACCAGGCATCAGTTTCAGGATACAGGGTTGACCATTTAGGACTAAGACAAGGAAAATTTTCTTCAAAGGCTAATGAACCTGTGGAATTCATTGCCACAGAAGGCTGTGGAGGCAAAGTCATTGAACATATTCAAGAAAGAGATAGATAAAGTTTTACATTTTAAAGGCAGGAAAACATTGGGATAGGGGATCAGTTATGATCTTGTTGAATGGAGCAGCCGGCTCAAAGGGCTGAATGATCTACTAGTGCTAACCGGTTGTGTGACCTGTCAACCGCCTGCATTCACTCCTTGCTGTAGTCTGTAATACTTTTAAGTGCTTCATATAACCCTTACCTTAACATCTTTCAAGTATTCAATATTGGCAATGTAATATCCATCTCTTTGTCCTCTTTCCAAAACCTTGAAACATTTTCCTCCAATAGTATCCACAATAGATCGTCCATCGGGAAGGAAGTGAGTGTTTCTTATATGCAGCATACAGCCATAATCTGTAAATCTGTAAATAGAGAGATCACATTCATTAAAACAAAGAATACAACTTTAGAAGAAGGACCTTTAAATATACTCCATTATTCAAACAAGATAATGGTTAATTATCCACAGCTACATCATCTTGCACTTGGAGGTACTCAACTACTCAATATCCAGTTTTGCGCTAGAAAATTCTGAAGGCTCAAACACATTCAGTGAAGAAATTTGTCCTGTCCCCTTTGTTCCAAGGCTCTGACCTAGTTGTAACCAGGGGAAATACTGTCCCCTATATCTACAACATAGAACATAACAGCGCAGTACAGGCCCTTCGGCCCTCGATGTTGCGCCGACCTGTGAAACCAATCTGAAGCCCATCTAACCTGAACTATTCCATTATCATCCATATGTTTATCCAATGACCATTTAAATGCCCTTAAAGTTGGTGAGTCAACTATTTTTGCAGGCAAGGCATTCCACGCCCTTACTACTCTCTGAGTAAAGAACCTACCTCTGATATCTGTCCTATATCTATCACCCCTCAATTTAAAGCTATGTCCCCTCGTGCTAGCCATCACCATCCAAGGAAAAAGGCTCCCACTGTCCACCCTATCTAATCCTCTGATCATCTTGTATGTCTCTATCAAGTCACCTCTTAACCTTCTTCTATCTTGTGAAGTCCATTAAGAATTGCATATTTTTAAAGATCACCACATTTTCCTTCCAAACGCTCAGAGAAATGTATCAAGTTTGAGAAATAGGACAAATCGACTTAAAACTGGGTACAAGACAATCTCATTATCAGTTTAGTGAATCATCTTTGCATTTTTTTCAAGGTAAATACATCTCTTTGGGGAAAGACAGCAGAACAGTAAACAGTTCTCCAGGTCTTGCCTAGGCAGCATACAACCATAGTGAGGTTTTAATCCAATTCCTTTGCAAAGGACTACTTGTCTCCTAATTGCTTGCAATGCCTATCTGCTTGTGGCTCTGGTTGTAATCCAGAAATTATCATCTTGTGAGATAGCAAAAGCTGCAGATGCTGGAGTCAGAGACAACACAGTATGGAGCTGGAGGGACACAACAGGCCAGACAGCATCAGAGCAGCAGGAAAGTTAACGTTTCGGGTCAGGACCCTTCTTCAGGATGGTATCATCTTGTGGTTCCATTTTTAAAAATGAACATATACCACGTCATCATAGGGGAGGCGATGGCCTAGTGGTTAATCCAGAGACCCAGATAATGTTCTGAGGACCTGGGTTCAAATCCTGATAGTGGAATTTGAATTCAACAGAAATCTGGAATTAAGAATCTAATGATGACCATGAATCCATTGTCGATTGTTGGAAAAACCCATCTGGTTCACTAATGTTCTTTAGGGAAGGAAACTGTCATCCTTACCTGGTCTGGCCTACATGTGACCCCCGACCCACAGCAATGTTGATGACTCTTAACTGCCCTCTGGGCAATTAGAGATGGGCAATAAATGCTGCCTAGCTAGCGACGCCCTCATCCTGTGAATGAACAAAAAAAACTCCACAAAAGAACTTCTTTCTCAGTTCTACTCATGTTGTTGGTACCTATATGAATAACAATTTAGATTCTTACACTCCCACGTTCTCCTCTATTGATGTCTTCTATCATGGTACAAGGTAGATACAATAGCCTCCAGTAGTCTTGCTCTTGGACGTAGGGAACTGCATCTATCCTTGCAACACCTGTCTTCCTTTTTACTGCACCCATTTGAGTGGATCCCTGCACCACTGTGCAATGAACAGTTTGCTGATCTATTTTACTCCAGACCATGTAAGCTGCATGATCGTCAAACTTTTGAATCACTGCAGGGCCTGAGACTCCTCTGCTACTAACATCTAAACAATGTTCAATCTAAGCTGCACAGCCACCACTAGGAGGTTCCCACACACCACTGCAATGGCACCCACATGGAGAAATTTCTGTCATGCAAACATCAGAGATCCATGGAAAAATACAGGAAAATGTTCTTTATGGGGGCCCATAGCTTTGTCACTCTCAGTCATGCCCTGTTGTTCCTGACCACAGATCAAAGTACCTACCTTAGGGTGCAACTGCCTCCTGCAAGGAGTCCAAAGCTCAGATGCCAGCACATCGACTCTGAATTCAAGTTCTTCAAGCTGCAGACATTTACTGCATGGGTGGTTGCCGTGGATTACATTGATATCAATTCGTTTCCAAATTCTAAAGCTATATCTTTGTAGTTCATTTAACAAATCAGGTTTCAAATTTAGAAATATCACTTCAACGTTCTATATTGTTAAATCACTTTAACTGAGTTACGTATTAGCTAACTTAACATACTAACATACAAAATTTCAGAAGACGACCACTCAGGCTGTCAAGCTCCACCATCAATTAACATTGTTGCTGATCAGTGTGTGTTTAAAATTCCACATTCTCACCTACCCACGATAACCTTAATAGCAATGACCTTGATCTGCCAACTTCTGAGACAGAGAGAGAATTCCAAAGTCACACAACTCTCTGGAAAGAAAGTAATTCTCAGCTCTGTAGTAAAAGGGTAACCCTTTGATTTTTAAACAGTGCCCAAAAATCACCCTTCATCCTTCTAAACTGCAGTGGAAACAAGGCCATACTGTGAAACCTGCTTTCATAAGACAATCCACTCATTTCAGCTATTAACTGTAAAGCCTCCTCTGAACCACTTCCAACTCACATCCTTCCTTAAAAAACGAGAGCAAAATTGCACGCTATTCAAGATGAGGCCTGACCAATGGTTATATAACTGAAGGATAATATCTTTTTTTTTGTTAAATTCCTCTTATAATGAAGCACAGCATTCCATTAGCTTTTTCTGACTCAATGCTGGACCTGCACACCAAAACAGATTCATGTACAAGAATCCTGCTGCACCTTGGATTTCAACAGTCATTCCCTGTTTAAGTAATGTCATTATTTCATTCTTCCTGCTAAAATAAACAACTTTACATTTGTCCATGTTGCTTCATCTACCAGATTTTAACCACGCACTTAACTAATCTATATCCAAATGCAACCTCATTATCAATTTCACAACACAGTTTCCTACACGTCTTGGTGTTGGTTTCAAATTTAACTGCACGCCTTTGCTCTCCCTCATTTAAGTTATTGACATAAGTTGTAAAAAGTTGAGGCCCCAGCACAGACACCTGCAGGACTCTATCTCTGCTAAAGACCTATTTATGCATACTATTTGCTGCCAGCCAATAGTCAATCATTGCTAATATGTTTCGCCTATTATTTTCTGCAATAGCATTTGATAAGGTACCTTATCAAATACAATTCTCTAATTCTAAGAACAATACTTATTTCGTTTATTTATTGCACTTCACTCCTTGAAAAAAGTCTAATAAATTTGTTAAATGTAATTTCCCCTTCGTGAAACGTGCTGACTCTTCCAGGTTATATTGGAGATTGTATTGACTGTCCAGCATCACACTCTTTAAATGCTTCTAGCACCTACTGCATGAAAAATGTTAAGCTAAGTCACCTTTAGTCTCCTGCTTACTGCCTCTCCCTTACTGAGTAGAGGGATTATGTGTGTTACTTTTCTAGTCTGATGGAGCCTTTACTGAATCCAGTGAAAAAACACTTTGGAAAATTAATGGATCTACATCATTAGCAACTTCATTTAAGGCCCTTGGATGGAAGTCTACCTGGACCTGGAGACTTGCCAGCTCTATCAGTTTGCATAGCATCTCTTCCCTCATGAATGTAATTTATCAAATTCCCCTTACCCTTCCTCTGGCTGATTTACAACTGCTATTGGAACGTTTCTATATCCTCTATCATGAAGACAGAAGCAAAATATTTTATCATTCTGTCTGCCACTTCCTTATTATCTACTATTAACTTCCCATTCTCACTTTCTAGAGTACTAACACTCACTTTACGTATTCATTTCCTTCTTAAGTACCTGTAGAAAATCTTGCTATCATGCTGTTGTTTCTTCAACCTCATTAACCTTTTAATAAATCGGTGTTGTTCTTTATACTCTGACCAATTATCTGACCTACCATGCATCTTTGTATGGTTGCACTTTTCCTCAGTTTTGATGTTTTCCTTAACTTCTTAACTCACGTTTACTGGCTCCATCCCCGGCTCCTCGACCTGTCTGTTTCCTCTCCACCTATCTTCTCCTCTATCCATCTTCTATCCGCCTCCGCCTCTCTCCCTATTTATTTCAGAACCCCCTTCCCCTCCCCCATTTCTGATGAAGGGTCTAGGCCCGAAACGTCAGCCTTTCTGCTCCTATGATGCTGCTTGGCCTGCTGTGTTCATCCAGCTCTGCACCTTGTTGACTAGAATAGACTATGTTCACTAAAGTATTTTAAGGTGTGTGACATTCTTTGCTGAAGTACATTATTTTTTAAATGATCACGCCCTGGAATGCATGCTTGTTTTTCTCAATTCAGAAATGTCCAGTTACAGTTATAACAGTATTTAATTTGCACAGTGAAAATTTGTGACAATACTAGCTCCTTCTCCAGATAAGCCTTTTTATTTCAGGTTTGCCTATATAATTCTAAAAAATTAAAACTAAAATGAGTGCCATTCCACTCCAACATGCACAACATTATGCTTTAAGCTTCAATTACATTGTTGGCTGGTATTTTGACTTAAGAGCCCTACAGCAAGGGCTAATTGGAAAAAAAAACTTGAAAACACTAGTGATAAACTGGTTTACAACATACCCATTATGTGGGTCACTGATGCACATTCCAAATTGTTTTGTACCAGTCTCAATGCATCTTCGAATCATAAGCCTATACCGTGGCTCAAAAATATGAAGAGGACAAGGCACAGTAGGATATGCCATAGTGCACACAAAAATGGGAACATTTTTCGTCAAACTGAAAAAGAAAAAGAAGTAAGACTTAATATTTCATAATGTCTTAAATATTTTCAGATCCTTTATTCAAAAGCTATTTTCTCCATGAAAGAATTTGATATTGCCATTCCACTATAATCATGCGAGAGAACGTTAAAAATATCTAAAAATCAAAAACAGGCAAACTCTACGAATAAACATTACAGGATCCTTATTTTCTGACAAAATTGAATACAAATGAACATCAGTACTAAAGTACACTTTCATGTTTTCTCTGCTTCTAAAAGAAAACTGATTAACAGTGAAACCTTAATAGACACTTGCATTTCAGATTTGTTTACAAAGATATCAGTTATGTCTGGATTTTCCATGGAAAGAAATGCAATTAGATTAGTCACAGAGATATGCAGCATAGAAACAGACACTTTTGTCCAACTCGTCCATGCTGACCAGATATCCTAAAGTAATCTAGTCCCATTTGCCAACATTTGGCCTATACCCTCTAAACTCTTCCTATTCATATACCCATCAAGGTGCCTTTTAAAATGTCGTAATTGTACCAGCCTCCACCACTTTCTCTGGCAGCTCATTCCATACAAACACCTGCATGAAAATGTTGCCCCTTAATTCCTTTTTAAATCTTTCACCTCTCACCCAAAAACCTATGCCCTCTAGTTTTGGACTCCGCTATCTTGGGTAAAATAGCTTGGCTATTCACCCTATCCATGCCCCTCATGATTTTATAAACTTCTGAGGTCATCCCTCAGCCTCCATGCTGCAGAGAAAATAGCCCCAGCCTCTCCCTATGGCTTAAACCCTCCAACCCTGGCAACATCCTTGCAGATCTTTTCTGTAATCTTTCAATTTTCACAACATCCTTCCTATAGCAGGGAGACCAGAATTGAATGCATGGAACGTCTTCAACAATATTATAGAAGAACCTCCTGAGAACAATCAGGATCTGCAAGGACACCAATTATAGAACTAAATTCCTTATTTCAAATATAAGAAGCACTGCACAATTTTAAGTCACATAAATCACATCTGTTGTACAAAATACAAGGCTAATAACACTATGCACCAAAAGATTACCATACCTGTGCAAGTAAATTACTAAAATTTAAGATGATCCCTTACTAAACCTACATTGTCATTGGTAATTGTAAACAGTCATTGTTCATGACATTTGTTTCAAATACTGCATCATATACATTCCAATGACTTTAGAATGAAAATATTAAATAAGAGCTGAAAGAATAGTGTTAAAAATTCTAACCTTTAATTATTAATGAGAATAAGGTACTATAAAGTTGAACATTTATCCCTTAGATAACAGTGCTAAGAAATAACCAAGCCTAATGGCACCTACTTTAGTTCAGTGGTAGCACCCTTGTAGCTGTGAGAGAAGGGCATGGGTCGAGGTCCTGCTCCAGATATTTAAGCTCAAAATTTAGGCAGAAACTCCAGTATCAGGAGACTGCTACATTCACTCATGGCACAAGGCTGAAGGCCAATGGAGATCTCCCCGTGTCCTAGACAATATGTTTCCTCCAACCACCAGCACTAAAACAGATCATCTGGTCATTACCACATTGCTGCTTTTAGGACCCTGCTTCCATAATTCTAGCACTGACTATGATAAAATGCACAACAGAAGTAAACCATTCAGCCTATCAAATCTGCTCCAACTTTCAATGAAATCATATTCTATCTGAATCGTCGCAGCACTTTCACCCTTTTCCATTAACTGAAAATCTGTTCATCTCAACTTTAAATATACTTAACATGACAACTTCTATGGTTAGCAGTGGTAAAGAATTCGACTGATTCAGTGTCCTCAGAAAGATTGTTCCTCCTCATCTATTAATGAGTAATTCCTTACTCAGCGTATGCTCTTTTGTCCAGGACAAGGGGAAACAACTGCTCACATCTACCCTGTCAAACTCCCTAAGAATCTAAAATTTAAAAAAACAGCAAATGCTAGGCAAATTCAGCAGGTCTGGCAGCATCTGTGGAGAGAAAGCAGAGTTAACGTTTTGGGTCCAGTAACCCTTGTTGAGGTAATAGTGGATGGCCAAGAATCTAGCAAGGGTGAAGAACTTAAAGGAATCAATATATGAAATATTACTAAATAAAGTAATGAATCCAAACTGTGACAGATTTCTTGCACCAAATATCCTGCAGCATAAGACTTCAAAATGTGGAGTTCCACAAAAAAGATAAATTGGTTTTGATCTGCCAGAATCCCCTAGTTTGTCAAACAGTTTGCAAAAGATTACAAGGTAACAAACATATTTTGCTAAACATGGAGCTGGACAAACACAGCAAGTCAGACAGCATCAGAGGAGCAGGAAAGTCAACGTTTCAGGCCAAAACCCTTCGACTGCCTAATCTTGACTTTCCTGCTCCTCTGATGCTGTCTGACTTGCTGCGTTTGTTCAGCTCCACATTTATTGACTCTGGCCTCCAGCATCTGCAGTCCTTACTGTCTCCGAAACCTATATTGTTTTTTGAGACAGGGGCAGAAGAAGTAGGTCAATTATCTTAATAGTAGTAGGAAAAATGGATTTTTGAAAGAGAATTGGCAGATTTGCAGATACTACTAGTACAACAGAAAGGAGAAAACTAGGTGATGTAGTGCAGTTGGATATTAAAAAAGCACTGGATGAAGAGGCGATTCAGAGGTTATACAAAAATAGTACTCAAGATTGTGAATAAATATGATGGGCCAATGGGCTGAGGAGTAGCAGATGGCATTTAATTTAGATAAATGCAAGGTGCTGCACTTTGGAAAGGCAAATCAAGGCAGGACTTATACACTTAATGGTAAGGTCCAGGGGAGTGTTACTGAACAAAGAGACCTTGGAGCGCAAATTCATAGCTCCCTGAAAGTGGAGTCCCAGGTATACAGGACAGTGAAGAGGCCATTTGGTATGCTTGCCTTTATTGGTCGGTGCATTGAGTATAGGATTTGGGAGATCATGTTGCGGCTGTACAGGACATTGGTTTGGCCACTTTTAGAATACTGCATGCAATTCTGGTCTCCCTGCTATAGGAAAGATGTTGTGAAACTTGAAAGGGTTCAGATTTACAAGCATGTTGCCAGGATTGGAGGATTTGAGCTACAGGGAGAAGTGGAATAGACTGGGGCTATTTTCCCTGGAGCGTTGGAGGCTGTGGGGTGACCTTAGGAGATGTTTATAAAATCATGAGGGGCATGGATACAGTAAATAGACAAGGTCTTTTCCCTGGGATGGGGTTCAAAACTAGAGGGTATAAATTTAAGGTGAGAGGAGAAAGATTTAAAAGGGACTTAAGTGGCAACTTTTTCACACAGAGGGTGGTGTGTGTATGGAATGAGTTGCCAGAAGAAATGGAGGAGGCTGGTACAATTACAACATTTAAAAGGCATCTAGACAAGTGTATGAATAGGAAGAGTTTAGAGGGATATGGGCCAAATGCTGGCAAATGGGACTAGGATAATTCAGCATGGATGAGATAGACCGAAGGGTCTGTTCCCATGCTGTATATCTCTATGACTCTAATATACTGTACTAACAACAACCGAGAATTCATTAACAGACAGAAAACACTAGGAATAAATAGGACATTGCTGAATTGGAAGGTTGTAATTTGTAAAAATCAAAATGTCCATCAGATATGCCTCAGTAACTTAGAAACATACAAACTACTTAAATGAGAATACTGACAACAACATATCCAAGTTCGTTAACAATACAAAGTTAGATGGGAATGCTAGTAATGAGGAGGATGAAAAGAAGTTAAAGTATATAGACAAGTTTGGGTGAGTGGGGCGAGAGTATAAATACAGACTAAGCCTATAACTCCCTAATCTCAGAAGAATGGGGATGATCATATGGGTTTTTTTTTTTAATAAAAAGGTTACTTACAGGATAGATGATGAAAAAATACTTCTATGGTTGTGGAATCTAGGACACAGGGAACAGTTTCAAAAACAAACAAAAGAAAGAGTTGATAATTCAGGACCAACAGTAGAGGAGAGTATTCAAATAGTTATGCATCTTTGGCATTCTTTACCCAAGAGAACTGATGATGATCTGTCAACGGTCAACTACTGAATTAAATATACTTGGTTTTTGGATACTAAGGAAGTTAAAGGCTACAGGAATAGTGCATTAAACTAAAGTTGAGATTGATCAGCCATGTTTGTAATGGCACAGCAAACAAGAAGTTATATGGCCTACTTGGCTCTTAATTCTTAGGCCACCATTTCCCAATAATTCCCTACCTATATTTGTTTTGCTTCATTGGTGAGAAATGTGTCAAGAGCAATTTTTTAAAAAATTGACCAAGAACAAGTCATCGCATCTTCCCACTTTCAACTGGTTTTTGGATATTCAAAAATCTATGATAATGACACCAATAGTAATAATTCACTGATTTCTTTGCAAATTTTTACTCTTAATTGATTTTACAAATATATACTGCAGTTCACAATATATGTAGTAACAATGATCCTTTGCTATCCTTAGCTCAATCCATGCTCAATGGGATTGTTTTTTGTTCCAAATCTCATCTCTAGCACTATGACATTTTTGATTAATAACTTACTTTGAAAGTTCTGCAGTTTCTTCATTATGAATCCTTTGTCTTTCACATTGTTCTTCAGAAAGATACCTTGCAATTACTTCTTCCAATAAATAGGTGACAGCATATTTCCTATTTTCAAGATACTGAAGAGGAAATAACTTTTTAAAATACTTGGCTTTTTATTTCATGCATCCCTATCATGAAGGCAAACATGTCAAGAACCAAAAGAGTACTCGGTTTAGATTGCTCTGTAGCTACACTACAAGTGCTAGGCCTTGTGACGGACAGGGTTGAAGAGAGGAGCAAGGAGAGGGAGAAAGGATGAAGAGAGGATGGGTAAGTAATCAAATTGATTTTGCAGTGTATAAAGGGAGAAAATTTCATTTGCCATTTTGAAAATACATTTCATATTGTAGTTACAATACTGGTGGCAATTGTGGTAATATTACTAAACTATTTATTCAGAGGCATAGATTTATGCCTGGAGACAATTACAGCTGGGTGAATTTCAATTCAATTATCTGGAAAAACTAGAAGGAAATGTGAGTCTCATTATTCATGACGTGTGAGACAAAGATTCACAGTATATTAATGTCTGAAACTTGGCATCTAAGTGAGGTATTCTGCTCAGTCTTGTTGATTTCTTTCTTCCATTTTAAGGATGAAACCTTGTGCACCAAGTGGAGGAAACCACTAACTGCCACTCAAAATTCTCCACAGTTCCCAAGAATATTAGTTTTGCTGATTAAGCATTATGCTTGTTATTCTGCAATTTCCCAATGTTTAGCCAACAGGATTCCCCACGAACCCAAAAGGGCAAAACTGAATGCAGCAGCTGTTATAACCATAGACAGTAACTTTTTTTTACAACTGGGAAAAGGATACTGCCACTCAGACCAGTACCTTCTTACAAAAAGAATCTAGTACACGGAACACAGTAGCACAATTCCTATCAAGTGCTCTGGAGTTGTATTATTGTGATGCTAATATAGATTATCAATTTGACAAATTTGCCAGAGCTTCTTCAGAGATAGTAAGACTGCCAATGCTGGAGCTTCTTCCTTTCTTGACTTACTAAAGAGCAATTAACATTTAATAAAAATGTAACTACACTTCCTCCACGATAACACTCAACACTGGAGCCCCCCAAGGATGCGTCCTCAGCTCCCTATATACCCACTACTGTGTTGCCAAATTCCATACAAATGCCATCAACAAGTTTGCTGATGACACTACTGTGGTAGCACAGATTTCTAACAACGAGTCAGAATACAGAAAGGGGATAGAGGGCTTGGTAACATGGTGCAATGAGAACAAGCCCTCTCTCAATGTTGGCAAAACTAAAGAACTGATTATTGACTTCAGAAAAAAAGGAGAACATACTCCCATCCACATCAACCAAGCAGAGGTTGGGAGGCTGGACAGCATCAAGTTCCTAGGAGTGACGATAACCAACAACCTGTCCTGGTCTTCCTATATAGATGCAACGATGCAACGGTCAAAAAGACACAACAACACTCTTCTTCCTCAGGTGGTTCAGCAAATTTGGAATGACCCTCACTGACTTTTACAAATGCACCATTGAAAGTATACTGTCCTGGTGTGCAACAGCTGGTATGGCAACTGCTCTGCCCAGGACCGTAAGAAACCACGAAGGTTCTGTGCACAATCCAGACCATCACGGAAGCCAACTATCTATCCATGGACCCCATTTAAATGGCTCGTTGCTGCGGAAAGGCTGCTGACATCAAAGAACCATCACACCCCACTAATGCTCTCCTACAACCTCTTCCCTCAGGCATAAGATACAGAAGCTTGAACACAGGCACCAGCAGGCTCAGGAACAACTTCCTCCTGGCTGTTATTAGACTGATGAATGGACTCTCTAATTTCAAATAATGCTGATCTTGCCTAGCACATAACCTGTATGCTGCTAAGTTTTGTTTTCCACCCTATGATCCTTGCTTACTGTAGGGGTCACTTGTACCTGGCCATGTAAGGTGGCTTGTACCTGAACACACTAAGCTGCTCATACCAGCTTACAAGATGGCAGACAGAAGCTAAGCAAAACTAAGCAGCCTGCTCACACAGTGAAATACAATGGTACCTCTGAAGAGAATTGCTAGAAGGTCAACAAAAAAACACTATGTTCCCATCTCAGACAGTTCTGATAAAAGGATGCCTTTGGACAAATAAATGACCAATTCCAGCTTTATTAATGAAGGGGTGATTGTCCCAGTAAATGAATAATGTCAGGTGCTAGGTTAGGTCCTCAAGCAGCTGCAAGGATAACAGCTAAAGCTATTTCATAGTAAATAGTTGCCTCTTTGAAGCTACCAGCAATATTAAATATTTCTAGCTAAAGATGCTCTAATCATAGAAGTTGGTTTCAATATGTAACCAGGATATAATACAAGCCTTAAAAAAACATTTAAGCTTAGATGTAAACATTAATTAGCCTTAGAAGACACCATCTCTTATGCCCTGAACAAGATAGATTGATCACAACCCATAAATTACAAAATGCTGACAGTAGCAGTAGTTGTATAATGTTACACTTATAATTTATAACAGAAATTAACCTTATAGCAATTAGTTAAAACTGACTTTTTATTTTTACATTATGTAATTAGGACAATGGGAAAATAAAGAGAAACTGAATGTGATAAAAGACAGCACCAAAACACAATGGGTAATATAATTTGAGCTGTTCTTACAGATAAACAAGCCTGAGAAAGATCCAGAAAAGGAATATAGCCATTAAACGTTTGGAATGTGAATGAATAGGATGCTTGGAGATCCTAAAGGTCTACAGATTACAATGTCTGGCTAATACCATAAGATCATGGGAACCTGGGGCCATCACTGATTAGGTGTCCCACAGAATAAAGGGGAAGGACGATGACTACATTGTATTTGATTACTGTAACACAAAATGCATAAAGTGGTGTATTTCTTTGTAAAAGTAGAGTGTGTGTCATTGATCTATCTTCTGAAACCAGATTCGGGGAAGATCCTTTGGCCCTCTCCTTGTGTAAACCAGCTTCTGCTTAAATAAATATCTTCCATTTGCCTGAATCCTGCCTGCCTCCTGAGTCTGCATCCTGAGTCGGGAAAAGTGCTCCTACACATCTCCCTGTACTGCTCATAAACAAAGCTTGTCACTGTACTTAGATACATGTGACAATAAAAACCAAATCAAATCAAATCAAATCAAAGAGAGAACTACAGTTAGCAAACTGGTCTATTTATGACATGGACAACAACTAGCTTTTCACCAGCTAAAAAAGAATGTCACGAAAAGGCTACTATAGACAGATCCCACGTGAAACAACTGAGCAGATTCAAGTCAGCTCTTAATGGTTTACAAGTACACAATGCAAAAATACCACTTTCATAAAGGGGCTGGGATCAGGAACAAAATACGTACTGACGAAGTTACAAAATAAGGGGCACACATTTAAAACAGTGATGTGAATAAATTTTTCCCAGATAGTACTGAATGTCTGGAATTCTCAATTCTAATGTGTTATGGAAGATAGATCACTGAAAGTACTTAAAAGAGGAGGTAGATAGATCTTTGAAATAGAGGGGTTCAGGGCTCTTAAGTGGAGGGTCAAAAAGGCAGTTGAGACCTGGGACAGAACTGCCATGATCTTATTCACTGACCTACTCCTCCTGCTTTGCCTTGCGATGAAGATTTACTGACAGCTAGTCCTGATCTAGAAACACTAGATTCCATCTTACATGAGAATTTGTACACTTGAAGGGCACAAAGAAGTTAAAAGTTTTAATAACATTACTTCCAGTTTTGCTGACATCATGACAGTGTAGACCAGACCAGACCAAACCAAACTGCTTCAGAGTTTGACCTTCCAAATCATTTAATGGAGAAAACAAAAACTATTAAACAAAGCTTAAAACTATGAGCCTTCTACTGTCATGAAAGGTTTAAAATAATTACCAGATCATCAAGTGGATACAAATTGGCGAAACTTAATTAAGAATAATAGAATATAGAATATTATTATAATAATAGCCAAACATTTTATGTCACAATTGTGTGCACTTAAGTTTTTAATGGAATTCTTCTGCAAATGACAAAAAGTTACATTATAAAACAATAAGACAATGAGCATGGTCTGCAACCTACTTCTTTGAGGCTGTCTTTACAAAGTGGACATAGTGGACTATGGTCCAAACTTCGTTCCAAACAACATTTACAGAAGGTGTGGCCACAAGGTGTAGTGATAGGCTCCAGGAACAATCTGAAAAAAAATGTCCTAAATTCAGAAAATTATAATATTGCAGTTGCCCCCATGTTTATATAAGTAAACATACCAAAAACTATGGGTACTCACTGAAATATCAACACATAAAAAGTTAGAAATTGTTACATGTTGCAAATCAACAGGATGAGAAAAGAAAGACTTTAAGAAATAAAAAATGTGAAAAGTTAAAAGAGAACAAAAGATATTTCAAGCAATTGTAGTCAAAATTGAGTGTTATATTTGAAAACATGAAAAGCATTCAAAACAACACTGAATATTTGGCAAGTATGAAGAATTGATACAGCTGAAATCCACAGGGCTCAAACAGTCACAAAAGGATTACATCATAGCCACAGAATACAAGGATGTGTTAGGTCGCATTAAGATGACTCCATATTCATGGAATGGAATAACGGAAATGCAATTATTCTGAGAACTGCACATCCAACAGTGAAACAGAGGAAGAGATTTTCAAAATATTCAGCGACGCGTAGCAGGTCAACAATATTGGACACTTTACCAATTTCAGTCTGACTTGACAATGTGTGTTTTTTTTAAATCCATCACATGACATGGGTGTTGACTAGCATTTACTGCCCATACCTAATTGCCCAGAGGGCAGTTAAAAGTCAACCACATTGCTGTGGATCCAAAGTTACATGTAGGCCAGACGAGGTAAGGACTGCAATTACCTTTCCTAAAGGACATCAGTGAACCAGATGGGTTATTCTGACATCAACAAAGGATTACTGGCCGTCATTAGACTCTTAATTCTAATTTTTTTTAGATTGAATTCAAATTCCATGATATGCCGTAGCAATATTCGAACCCGGGTCCCCAGAACATTAACCTCGTCTCTGGATTAACAGACCAGCAATAATACCCCTAGGACATTAACCACTAGGAAGACAAAGTTAGAAATGCCTAATAGTATCATCTAGAAATCTTTCTCCATAGAATCTCTACAGTATGGAAACAGGCCATTTGGCCCAACAAGCCCACAACAACCCTCTGAAGAGCATCCCACCCAGAACCATCCCCCTAACCCTACATTTCCCATGGCTAACGCACCTAACCTACACATTGCTGAACAATATGGACAATTTAGCAAAGCCAATCCACCTAACTTGCACATCTTTGGACTGTGGGAGTAAATCTGAGCACCCGGCGGAAACTCACGCAGACATAGGGAGAACGCGCAAACTCCATACAGACATTCGTCCAAGGGTGGAATCAAACCCGGGTCCCTGGCACTGAGAGGCAGCAGTGCTAACCACTGAGCCACCATAGAGACAGTCAGGACTGCAAATGCTGGAAGCCAGAGTCAATAGATGTGGAGCTGGAAAGCACAGCAGGTCTGACAGCATCCGAGGAGCAGGAAAGTCAACGTTTTGTGTCCTGGCAAAAGGTTATGGTCCAAAACGTTGACTTTCCTGCTCCTCGGATGTTGTCTGACCTGCTGTGCTTTTCCAGCTCCACATCTACTGACACCGAGTCACCTTGTTCGACTCGATTCTAGTCCAACAAAACACTCTTGTAGCTCTGTGAAATGGAGACAAATAATTGACATGAAGTTTAGAGAATATTCACACAAGTTTTTTTTTATATGCATTGAAGTGATGTTGACTTTGCTGATTGAGCAATAAATGCTGGCCCATCGCTGGTTGCCCTCAAGAAGGTAATGAGCTGCCTTCTTGAACCGCGGCAATCCATTTGGTAGAAATATATCCAGAATGTTGTTAGGGAGAAAGCTACAGGACTTTGACCTAGTGACCACTAAAGGAAGGATAATATACTTTCAAGTGAGGAAAGTGAGTGGCCTGGAGTGGAACTTGCAGGCGGTGGCCTTCTCTTGTATGCACCGTCCTTGACATTCTAAGATGGTAGTTGCCATGGGTTTAGAATGAGCTGTTTAAGTAGCCTTGGTGAATTGTTGTAGTGAATTTTGTAAATAGTATACTCTGCTGGATATGACTGTGGTGCCAATTATGAGTGCTGCTTTGTCCCGAGTGGTGATCTTGTACTGAAAGGAAGATCTAGGTAAAGCAGCTGAAGATGGTTGGCTCTACGACACCATCCTGAGGAACACCTGGAGAGATGTGAAATAAATACTGGAGAACCTCAGTTAGTCTAGCAGTATCTTTCGAGAGAAACAGTTAGCGCTTCAAGTCCAAAATTATTTTTCTTCAGAACTGAACTATGTTCTTTATGCTGATGACAAAGCACAATGAGAATCAAGTGGAATAGTCAGACATGGTGCCCAAAGCAAATGACAAAGGAAGTATTAGTGGTAGGACAGGAAAGATGTCTTGGAGCTGAGATGAGTGGCCTTCAAAAACCACAACCATCTTCCTTTGTGTTAGGTATGACTCCGACCAGTGAATTGCTAGTCCAGCAACAATACCACTACACCAAAGAAGCCTTGCAAAAAGCAAAGCTGCTGGACTGGAAAATAGCAAAGTTCAGAGAGATAAGAAACGGCTTGGTCCAAATTAACAAAATAAAAAGTTAGTCAATGGGTTGACCAAGCAGCAATAAGGATCTTCAATCAGAGATAAATAGAGCACAGAAAATACAATTTAAAGGAAAAGTATGCCAAGAATATGCAGCTTAAATTAGTAATATAAAAAAAATCCAATAGCGAAGTGATAATGTAGATTTGAGGGGCTAGGAGGGAATTTGATAAAGGCTGGCAAACAAAAAAACAAATGCAAGAGTAAGGGCATCTTTTAAAAAGAAAAGGTGTGTCAAAATATGAAACAGTTTTAAACTAAAATAAGTAGTACAAACCCTCTTAAAATTGCAATGCAGAAAAACTGCCTCATCAAATCAGACCGGGAATAAAGCATTATTTTAAAATAGTTTTAGTCTTGTTTTTACTTAATAAAGCTCTCTCTTTTTGGTCATGATGCAGGAGCTGAAAATTTAGAATTATTGTGGCAAGACAGATCTCTCATGAGGTGCTGCAGTCTAAAGGTTAATTTTAATATATATTTGTCATTCCAACAAAATATTTTCTTACCTCATACAAAGAGAACACTCAAAATCTGCTGCATCTACTAGATCCTTAGTTAATGTTCTCTCAAAATGCAGTGCATGGAATGGTTGTTCAGTATCTGAATAAAAGCACACTTCAAGTAAGAAAAGTTAAGAATGAAACGATCATTCACAACTAAATATTCTCAATTGAGTCACAGGAATGGATTATTTTCACGACTTAAGAGGGCATTTTTGACAATATAAAGTGGTTTGCAAAGCTATTTAAATCCATTGTCTCTTATAAACATTCAAGTTTTCCCTTCAAGGGAAATGGTAGTGGAGGTATTGGTGGTTTATAAATTAGTTTTACTTGTTTCCTTAAATAATTGAGCTTCAGGCCTAGAGTTACCAAATATATCTTAAAGTGGTGATATGAACTTGAATTACAAAGTTGAATCAATAACTGACCCCACTTTTGGCATTTACTCTTTGTATCGCCAGTTTCCTTTGTTTCTTGATCGCTGAAAGGCAACTTTCTTTTCAGTCGAACTGCCTTTTCTTGGCATGTAAGCAGTGGGGCTGAAGAAACCCTTTTGAAACCAACAAGGTTTTCCACCCTATGTAATAACTGAACAGATCGAGTCCAACTCAGACACGCTGACTCTCCCTCTGAATTTTTTGGCATACTTGACATCTGCTGATTCATAACAAAAATTTATTAGTACAAAAAATGCTAAAACATTCAACATCTCTCAAAACAACTGATATCAGTAAAAATGCATCAAAACTTAAATCTCTTTCAATCACATCCAATTGTGAAAACTGATCACAGTAATCTCATGGGCAGCATATATTAAGTATTACACAAGTATTTACTGTAAGTCAGAAACAATGAAAAAGAAATTAGCTTTGTAGTTATCTAATTCACTCAACAGCATAAAAATTCTTGGATACCATTATATTAAATTAGATTTTATACTGCGGTTGGTTCGCTCACTGAGCTGGTTCATTAGTTTGCAGACGTTTCATTACCCTGCTGGGTAACATCATCAGTGCAGCCTCCGATGAAGCGCTGTTGGGTTTTTCCGTCTGGTATTTAAACTCTGGGGTCGGTTGGATTTGATTACCTCATTTCCGGTTTTCCTTCACAGTGGTGTATATATAGGATCTAATTCTATGTGTTTATTGATGGCCTTCTTGGTGGAGAATCAGGCCTCTAGGAATTCCCGTGCTTGTATGTTTGGCCTGTCCTAGGAGCCTGGTGTTGTCCCAATCGAACTGGTGGTTCTCCTTCTCCATTCACACGGATATGAGTGAGTATTGGTCGTGCCTTTTTGTTGCTAGTTGGTGTTCATGTACTCTTGTGGCCAATTTTCTTCCTGCCTGTCCAATGTAATGTTTGTCGCAGTCCTTGCATGGAATTTTGTATATTATGTTGGTTCTGTCCATATTGGATAAGGGGTCTGTGGTTTGAGTTAGCAATTGGCATAGGGTTGACGTGGGTCTGTGCGCTAAACTGATGTCCAATGGTCATAGGAGTTTTATGGTCAGTTCAACTGTATTCTTGATGTATGGTAGCGAGATGCATGTGTAGTATCTTCCTGTAGTTGTTAGTATTTTCCTGTTGCTGTTTGTGTGATAGGCATCGTCGGATCCAGTTGTTCGGGTATCCATTGACCTTAAATACTTGGTGGAGGTACTCTTCTTATTTTTGGCGTAGTTCCGGGTTGCTACAGTGTGTTGTTGCTCATTTAAATAGTGTTTTCATGCAACTTTATTTGTGGGTGTTAGGGTAGTTACTGTTGAAATTCATTACTTGATCAGTGTGTGTGGCTGCATCACTATGGACAGAACCAATGTAAAATTATAAAATATAAAATATACAAAATTCCATGCAAGGACTGTGACTCTGGCTAGTACAGCTAAGTGTCTGGACTCAGGATGTAGATCAGAGAGATTCAACGATGGTAATGCTGTTGAATAGCAATGAGACGAAACATCTGAAGTGTAGTTGCAGCCATGCTATTTATAGTAATAGCATATATGCCAAATTTTAATGGGCACGGCCAACTTCTATTGCCTGGTACTTGTGCAGTGCAATTGTTACTTGTCAGCCCAAGCTGAACAGTGTCTGGGTCTTGCTGCATACAGACATGGACCACTTCAGTATTTGAGGAGTTGTAAGTGAATGTTGTGCAATAATTGCAGCCCCATACATTCATCATTCCAGCACTATTGCTGCAACACAATTACAAATAATGCATAATTTTTGGTATGTAAGTCAATTGTCCTACACAAATGATGGCAATTAGTGTTGAGAGAATTGCTTCAGGAAATGGCTCACTAAGAGACAAAATAGCTTCGTGCAGATTCAGCTGGAATGATGAATGTATGGGGCTGCAATTATTCCATAACATTCACTTATAACTCAAGTACTGAAGTGGTCCATGTCTGTATGCAACATGACCCAGACACTGTTTAAGCTTGGGCTGGAAAGTAACAATTGCACTGCACAAGTACCAGGCAACAGAATTTGGCCATAAGAGAATTTAATCATCTCCCCACTAAAAGTCAGCATATTTACCATTACTACAAATAGCGTGGCTACAACTATGCTTCAGATGTTTCATCTCATTGCCATTCAACATTATTTGAAGTACTTCATGTCATTTCAAATTCTCAAGGAATAACTAAATTCTGTATAATTCTTAAAAATTTTTTTATAGAGCCTAATCTTTGCTATGATGAGCCATTAATATCTTACACAATTTCTGCATAGCAGTGTGGAATTCAAAGTGAGCAATGTTCTCCAAGTGCCAGACAGAGTTTGGCCACAATGTCTCAAAACATATGTATGAATTATGTCAACTAGGTCAACTGCTAATATCCTATTAGATCTAAGTGCCATCTTATATTAAAAAAAACAAGCTATTTTCAATGTTAATCATAAGTTTCAGATATGTAGGGACTTCAAGTTAAATTACCATCCAATTAGATTTTCTAAACCAACGTACTTTATTTGAAAGATGAAGTGAAATGTTACAGATTGATTGAATTTGAAAGTGTTAAGTCTTTGCAGGTTACTTAGCTGTTGTAATAATGAAAAAAATCTGGTAATAATCAGCAGGTTAAGCAGCAACTTCTGAGAGACACCTTTCAGGATGCCGACCAGTTCTGATGTAAAGACACTGACCTGAAACAATGGCCTAAATCTTCCAGGGGTTAGAAATCATGATCAAATTGCCATTCCACTTGTACTTTTGCACTAGAATTTACTTCCCATTTTTGGCTGAGACTTCCAATCCCCACTTCTTCAGAAATACTGAAAGCACCTGAATTTTTAAAAAAATTTCTTGAAGTTCACCCCAACTTCACCACTGACCGTGTTAACAATCCATCACCTCCTTTCTCATCCAACCCTGTGCCCCCCCCTCAATGAAACTGCTCAACCACCATTGCCTCTAAATCTAGAATTTAAACAGCTAGCATAATTGCTACCAATTGATTGTTGTAAAAATGCACTTAGTTCACTAATGTGCTTTAGGGAAGGAAATCTGCCATCCCTTATCTAGTCTGGCCAACATGCAACTCCAGACCCTGGGCAATGCAGTTGACTCTCAACTGGAGATGGGCAATCAAAACTGGCCTGGCTGGCGATGCCAATATCATATGAACCAAAAACAAAACAGAGCGAGTATACACTCACCGCATGGTTTCAGCCAATCACAAAACAATCCAGGGAGGGTAAAACTGGAAATCAGAAGTATAAAATCTCCTATACAAATACTACAGATGCATTCCCATGGGGACTTCCTGAGGGTTCCAAAGCACATCAGCAATCTAAATTGATGTGAAAGTGGACAAGATCAGAAGCAACATGACACCAGGTTATAATCCTTATAATTATTTGAAATCCTAAGCTTTTGGAGCACTGCCCCTTCATCAGGTCAAGTGAAGAAAAGCATACAGGCACAGAATTTTTAGGTAGACAGAGGAAAAGAAAGAATGAGCAGACTGTCGAATAATAAGTCTCTACAGGTGATCAAAAGTGTCAGACAGTGTGAGTAAAGTGTCAGCACCTGAATAGTAAATGAACGGGATGATCTACAATCCAATTAATTGAGGCAGAGAGGTAGTTACAAAATATTAAAAATAAGGTGGTGCTGGAGACAAACCAAATGGCTGGAATAACATGATAGATATAAGAGTCGCATGCCGAGGGTCTAAGTACTCAACACCAACAACCGCCAATTTCCAAAAGCCATCCTACAACTCATCCTCTTCATCCTCAACCACAATGTCTTCACCTTTGACAACCAGTTCTTCATCCAGACACACTGAACAGCCGTGGGGACCAAATATGCATCCCAACATGACAACATTTCCATGCTCAAGTTCGAGCAAAACTTCTTTGCTGCACAGGACCTCCAAACAATACTATACACCAAATACATCCACGGTATTTTCCTCCTCTGGACTCATGGCAAGGAATCACTGAAATGATTAGACAACGACATCAACAAGTTTCATTCCACCATCAGACTTACCATGGACTACTCTTCAGAATCAGTTTCATTCTTGGACACATGCATCTCTGGCAAGGATGTATACCTCACTGCCTCACTCTATCGCAAGCCCACAGATAACCTCATGATGCTGCACTTATCTCGCTTCCACCCTAAATGTGATAAAAAAGCCATCACTATGGATAAGCCCTATGTATATAGAGGATCTGCTCAGACAAGGAGGAACGCAACGGACACCTGAAGACGCCCTCCTAAGAATGGGATACAATGCTCAACTCATCGATTGCCAGTTCCAACGGTGCCATAGCAAAGAGCCGCAATGACCTCCTCAGAAGACAGACACAGGACACAATTGATAGAGTACTCTTCGTCGTCCAGTACTTCCCTGGAGCAAAGAAACTACACCATGTTCTTCACAGCCTTCAACATGTCATTGATGACAACAAACATCTTGCCAAGATCATCCACTTCTCAGCTTCAAACATTCAACAAACCTTAAACAGACATCTTTCGTAGCAAACTATCCAGCCCTCTGGACAACATCGACCACAACACTGCCACAGCAACCTCTGCAAGACATGTCAGATCATGAACATGGACACGTGGGAGCACCACATGCACAAAGATACTCATGTCACTTGGCCAATGTTGTCTACCTCATATGCTGCAGGCAAGGATGCCCAGAGGCATGGTACATTGGCGAGACCATGCAGATGCTATGGCAACAAATGAATGGACGCCACACAACAATCGCTGACAGGAATGTTCCCTCCCAGTCGGGGAACACTTCAGCAGCCAAGCAAATTCAGCCTCTGATCTTTGGGTAAGCATCCTCCAAGGCGGTCTTTGAGATACAACAACGCAGAATCACCGAACATAAACCGATAGCCAACTTCCGTACCCACGAACACTGCCTCAATCATGATCTTGGGTTCATGTCATGCTAGATGTAACCACACTATACTGTCCTGTATTTGTAGAATCTTCCTTACTGTCCTGTTTTAACACCACCATTTTGATAACTTGTTACGATCTCTCTACCTTAATTAGTTTGTACAGTTTTGGATTACATGTTACTTTGGTTGGACCCTTGGTATAGATTCTTATACCTATCATGTTATTCCAGTTAATAGTGTGGAGCTGGAGGAACACAGCAGGCCAGGCAGCATCAGAGGAGCAACAAAGCTGTCGTTTCGGGTTGGGACCCATCTTCAGAAAGAAAGATCCCTACCCAAAACGTCAGCTTTCCGGCTCCTCGGATGCTGCCTGGCCTGTGTTCCTCCAGCTCCACACTGTGTTATCTCAGACTCCAGCATCGGCAGTTCTTACTATCTCTGATGTTATTCCAGCTGTTTGGTTTGTTTCCAATACCACCTTGTTTTTAATATTTTTGTAACTGTCTCTCTGCCTCAATTAATTGGATTATAGATCATCCCCTTCACTTACTATTCAGCTGTTGACACTTTACTCACACTGTCTAATACTTTTGTTCACCTGAAGAGACGTATTATTCAACACTCCACTCACACTATTTGTATGATCATTTGATCTCTCCATCCATTGATCTCTCTCCCTATAAATTCTGTGCCTGCATGCTTTTCTTCACTTCACCTGATGAAAGGGCAGCGCCCCAAAAGCTTGTGATTTCAAATAAACCTGTTGGACTATAATCTGGTGTCATGTGAATTCTAATCAAAATTGAGGTGGGGGTTCTCTGCATATTGGAATACTTGGGCAACTAACTCTGTTTCCCTCTCCTCAGATGTTGCCTGATCTAGAATTACTTGTGGCATACTCTTTATTTCAGGTTTCTAGCAGCCACCACATATAGTTGTAGTACTTAATGTATTACCCAACTCGAAGGTTCTTATCCAGAGGTAGTCGCATTAGCAAGATTTAGCTGTTAACCACAAACTGAAATGCAATTTCTGCCTCAAAACAATGCCATACATATTAAAATTATTTCACTAAAATAAGTAATGTCCAATGAATAACATATCATGTGACATCAAGAAGCAGCTGTAGGCACTGGATACACCAGAGGCCCTGACAATATTCTGAAAATAGTACTGAAGGCTTGTACTCCAGAATTAACTATGCCCCAAACCAAGCTGTTCCAGTACAGCTGCAACACTGACATGGGAATAATGATGGTGTAATGGTCGTCACCGAGCAAGCATTCCAGAGCCATAGGCTAATGCTCTGGCTCAAATTCCACAAGGGCAGCAGATGGAATTTAAATTCAATTAATAAATCTGGAACTAGATGTGATCATGAAACCATTTTTTTTTAAAAAACGATAATCAATTGGTTCACTAATGTCTTTTAGGGCTCCTTGATGCTACACTTAATCAAATGTTGACTTAACATCAAGGACAATCACTCTCACCTCAACTTGAGTTCAGTTCTTTTAACCATGTTTGGACCAAGTTTGTTTTCAGGTCACAAGTCCTCACAGAGCCCAAACTGAGTATCAGTGATCAGATTATAGCTGAACAGGTGTTGCTGGATAGCATGGTCAATGATTCTTCCATCAGGACAGAAAATCTGCTATTGTCACCTAGTCTGGCCTACATGTGACTTCACATCCACAAATGTTGGTCAACTCTCAACTACTCTCTGAAATGAGTTAGCAAGCCATCAGTTTAGGGTCAATTAAGGATGGGCAATAAATACAGCTATTGCCAGTGATGCCCCCATCCCATAAAAGAATAAAGAAAACCTATCCAGCAATATGGAAAATTACCCAGGTATGTAATAAGCAGGATAAATCTAAGCCTGTCAATTATTGTCTTAATCTACACAAAGTGATGGAAGTCATACCAAGCAGAACAGAAAATTATAATTGCTGGAGATCACTCATGGCAGTGCTGAGACATCACTGCAAGAGTTCCTCAGGACATTGTCCTAGATCCAACCTCTTCAACTGCTTCATTAACGGCCTTCCTTTCACCATAAAGATCAGAAATGGGATGATCGCTGATGCTTGCACAATGTTCAGCAGATTTCACAACTCCTCTGGTATAGAAGCAATCCTTATTCATATTCAGCAAGGCCTGGACGATATCCAGGCTTGGTTTTGATAAGTGAGAAATAAAAGTGCCACACACAAGTCAGACAATGACAATCTCCAACAAGAGAGAATATAATCTTTTCTCCATGGTGTTCAATGGCATCATCACTGCTGAATCCACCACCATTAACATGTTAGGGGTTATCGTTGACCAGAGACTAAACTGGACTAGCTGTGTAGATAATGACTACATTATCAGGTCAGAAATTAGGAACCCTTGGAGAAAGGCAACTGATCCATGGTAGCACCATCACCTGAAAGTTTCCTTTGAAGCCACATACCATCCTGGTTTCAAACTGTACAGCTGTCCTTTCATGTCACTGGACAAAAACCTGGAACTCACCAACGTCAGTACTGTTAAATCTACCACACTCCCAGGGAATGAAGACGCTCAAAAAGGTATCTCATTAACAGCATGAAGGGAACTGGGAACTGGCAATAACTATTAGCCTAGCTACTGATGCCCACATCCTGTGAACAAATGTATTTTAAAACGTAGCTCAAGAACAAATCTGAGGTATTAAGTGTTCCTCCAAATACAAACATATGGAGTTCAGATTAAAATAAAATCACCTGCACAGACTATAATGAAATAAACTGAATATTCAGATCATATTTACTACAACGCAAACACCACTTGTATTAGACATTTGGTCGGATAAAACTTCGCTATTACCAAAAATGCCAGTGAAAAGCTTTTCATCTTGCACTCAGGTCTATTAGCAAAAATACCAATTTAAAGAAAGAACAAACATGAAAGCTGTAGGAGAAAAAAGTGCTGATTGGTTGACAAGTGGATTCTGATTGGTAGTAGTGATGTCTGGTTTAAAACTTAAATAAAGCTTTGCAGTTAACTATCAGAGTCATACAGCATGGAAAGAAACCCTTCAGTCCAATTTGCCCATGCTGACCAAGTTTCCCAAACAAAACTAGTCCCATTTGTTTGCATTTGGCCACAGCCTTCTAAACTTTTCCCATTCATCACTAATCCGAATGTCTTTTAAATGTCGTAACTATACCTGCATCTGTCACTTCCTCTGGCAATTCATGCCACACACGAACCACCTGGTGTGTGAAAAAATTGCCCCTCGGGTCCCTTTTAAATCTTTCTCCTCTCATCTTAAAATTAGGCCCTCTAGTTTTGAGCTCTCCTTTGCTAATCACCTTATCTATGCCCCTTATGATTTTATAAATCTCTATAAGGTCACCCCTCAGCCTCTTACGCTCCAGTGGAAAAATATCTCAACATATCCAGCCTCCCCTTACAATTCAAACTCTCCAGTCCTGGTTACGACCTTGTAAGTCTTTATGGCACCTTCTCCAATTTAATATCCTTTCTATAGCAGGGCAACCAGAACTGTACACTGTACTCCAAAAGCAGTCTCACCAACATCCTGTACAATCACAACGTAACCTCACAACTCCAACATTAAATGTTCTGAGTAATGATTAACTGGTGCATTTTCCAAGGCAATAATCTTGATTTTCTCAAATTGGAATTTGCACGAACTGCCTTGATAAGTACAAGATGAAAAACTGCAATGAAACATGTATTTTGTCAGCATTACTTCACTTACGTTGCAGAAGAATATCTATACTGTAATGTCCAGCCAACTGGAAAAATCTGATAAAGGGTCTAGGCCCGAAACATCAGCCTTCCTGCTCCTATGATGCTGCTTGGCCTGCTGTGTTCATCCAGCTCTACACCTTGTTATCTTGGAAAAATCCTTATAGTTTTGTAAAAACATTACCTTTTCCACTTCTACTTTTGCTGGAGTAGAATCTTCATCCAAGGCCAAACACTGAGGAAATGACTGTACAGTTTCATCGATCAGCCCCATGGTAGACAGGACTCTAGCTTTTCCAAAGTATCCCTGAAGAAGTTAAATAATTTTTAAATACAGTTTTATGTATAGAGTTCAAAATGTACACTGTACTTCTCGTAAACTGTGACATATTCAATAACAACCCTCGTTTTGAATTTCAAATCTATCCTTTGACATAACTGGAAAGAAAAGTGTACAAAGGTCAAGGCCAAAAGTTATTGCTAGCCAGTTATTGAAACACAGAATTCTACATCTTGAGTTTGAATCATTATCACATTTTGATCGCTCTGTCATAACATTCTCAGGCTACTTAAATCATGTATTATCCAAATAAACAACAACTTCTTTTGCACAGAAAGTGTGATCAACTGAACTGTGAAACCCTGATGAGGAATTTAAGATTGTAAAACAACTCATAGTTAGACTTGTAGCAACCACCCTTGGAACTACAAAAACCAGAGGAATCATGCATTTAACTGTGCATTGCTCAAAAAGAAAAAGACCAATATAACAAACAGGTGTTACTTCATCAATGATGGAATAAAAAAAAGTCCTTAGGTAACGATGAAGATGGACAATGCAGTGTTAAAAGCAATACAACACACATTTACAAGAGAACCTGAGCAAACAGTTTAATGATAGTTGCCTAAATTAGAATTTCAATATAAGCATGTAATGCTGAAATAGAAACAGGATAATCTGAAATATTCTGAGATAACAAGGTGTAGAGCTAGATGAACACAGCAGGAATGCCCAGCTTGTCCCTGCCTCCCTAACCTGTCCTTCCTCCCACCTATCCCCTCCTCCCACCTCCTACCTACTAACCTCATCCCGCCCCCTTGACCTGTCCGTCCTCCCTGGACTGACCTATCTCCTCCCTACCTCCCCACCTACAGTCACCTTTACTGGCTCCATCCCCACCTCTTTGACCGGTCTGTCTCCTCTCCACTTATCTTCTCCTCTATCCATCTTCTATCCGCCTTCCTCTCTCTCCCTACTTATTTCAGATCCCCCTTCCCCTCCCCCATTTCTGAAAAGCGAAGCCTAATCTGAAATATTCAGCAGGTCTCACATATTCTGTGAAACTGAATGACTTCCCATCTGGCAAACAAATGTTTAGGGAAGGAAATTTGCCATCCTTACCTGGTCTGACTACTACTTTTTGACTTGCAACATGAAACATGGTACTTCAATCGTTCATGCTCTTTCCTCTTCATCACATACCCTTTGTTTTTCTTCCCATAGCCCTCTTTCCACTTGCTCAAGATCTACCACTTCTAACTTTTCCCAGTTCTGATAACAGATCATTGAACTGAAACAGCAACTTCGTTTCTCTCTTTTTAGTTGTTGTGAGACCTGCTCAGTATTTCCATCATTTTTTTTTTCTGACAGATTTTCAGCATCCATAATATTTCACTCTTGTATCAGCACAACCTTCACACAATCTTCTAAGGGGATTGAAATAGCTCTTTAAACAAGAAAATTTACACGAATTATTTCAGAGCTAAACTACATTGCTCTTAACCTTCTATGCACAGTGAAAACATTTCGTTCCCAGATTACTTGTGAAACAAGTCCAAAAGATTTGCTAAAGCTAGTAAACATATTTACATTGAACATGATGCTTTAAGTTTGTTTTGCAGTTTAAAACTGGGATCAGGCTAATATCAACTCAAAAGCTTAAATCTGAGCTTTACTAATGCCTATAAAGTAATTTTTGTAATTACATCGAAAAGACAGAATCATTTCCAATCTGGCACGCAAGACGAGCATAGGGGAAATAGAGAAATAATAAACTTGCGTTGCACTTAGCCTCAAGTCTCAGGAATATGCCAAATGGACTATATTGGAGTTGCTACTCTTTTGTATCAAAGCTCACATCAACACATCCACAGGACAACAAAAAATTTGACGATCTTCTTTCAATAGTAATATGGTCACAGAACAGGCAGACAACGGCTGACACAAAAGGACGCTCTGACAATGCAGTGCATCGATAATGAAGTATAGTATCCTGTTAAAATTTAGATTTTATGCAATGAAGATAAAAGGGTCAAATTACAGGATGCAATGATTATGGTAAAATTAAAGGAGAGATAGTAGGATAAATTAGGTTGGTCACCAACTTAATCAGGATTGGGTAAAATTGTTGTTTCTATTTAGGTATGCAATACATAATTATAAAATACGGAAAATAGCCACCTCTGGCCAAGCAGGCCTTCTTGAACACACTGCTTCCATATCTTCCCATGCTTCTTTGAACTGTTGAAGCCCAGCATACGATTCAGCCTTATAGCTTTGTAGGGCCACATCACTGGGTTCTAAAAAGTTAAGTCAAGTACAAATCAACAATCGACATTCTGTATCAAACTAGAAGTTTATTCACAGAACATCAGTTGTACAGTTCAGAAGAGGCCCTTTGAGTATGTACCGCCTGAATTAGTTTACAACCGACACTAGTCCCACTTTCTCCACATTAGGCCCATAGCTTCGAATGTTGACACTTGAGTGTTCATCAGAGTACTTTTTAAAAGACAGAGGTTTCCGACCTCAACTACCCTCTCAGTCAGTCCATTCCAGAATGCCACCACCCTCTGGGTGAAAATGCTTTTCCTTAAGTCCCCTCTAAACTTGCTGCCTTTCACTCTAAAGTTATGTCCCCCTTGATATTCACCCTTCGACTAATGGGAACAGATGCTTTTTATTCACTCTGTCCATGCTCTCTAAAATCTTATACACATCTTATCAGGTTCCCCCCTTAACCTTCTCTGCTGCAAAAAAAAAGCCTGAGTTTCTCCAGCCTCTCTTCATAGCTGGAGTGCTCCATTCCAGGCAACATCCTGGTGAAGCAGCAAATTACTGCAGATGCTGGAATCTGTATTGAAAGCTACAAATGCTGGAGAACACAGCCAGTCGGGCAGCATCCTGGTGAATCTCCTTTGCATCCGCTCCAGTGCAATCACATCTTTCCTACAGTGTAGTGACCAGAACTGTACCCACTATTCCACCTGTGGTCTAACTGATTTCCTATATAGCTCTGATGTGACGTCGCTATTCTTATAATCTATGCCTCAAATGAAAAAGGCTACCATCCTGCAGGCCTTCCCAATTGCCCTATTAAACTGTTCTGTCACCATCAGGAATCTGTGAACAAGTACCCCAAGATCCCGCTGAGCTTCTTCACGTCCTGCCATTCACTGAGTACTGCCTCGCCAACGACAACCTTTTTTGCAAGTTTTTAAGAAGAAAAAAACGATTCTGAGATTGCACAGTCCCGAAGGAATAGCTACCTCCCTAGTGCTACGGTCCAGATTTTGCAGAGTAGCTGCAAGACATTCTTCTAGGGGAAGGTGTTCAGCCAGAGGATATGGTCCTGGTGGTACCAATTACTGAATTTTGTGGAGGGCAGGCCTAAACCAGTTGATGAGGTCCTGAAAGGAAATTTTAGGCAGCTAGGAAGGAAATTAAAAAGCAGTTCAGCCTTAGAATCAGAATCTTTACAGTGAAGAAAAAGGTCCTTTGGCTCATTGTGTCCACAATGATCAAACATTCATCTATTCTAATCTTGTTTTCCAGCATCCTTCAACTTCCCAGTAACCTTGCGATTATTCCCAGTTGCATGCGTTAGCAAGCATGGGAACAGAAGAATAGATTGATTCAAAATGCGGGCATCAGACATTCGAGGCATCAGGACCAGTTCTGGGGAAAGGGAGACCTCAATAAGATGGTGGATCTGCATCAAAATGGGGCCAAGACTAATATCCTTGCAAGGAAAATTGCTGTCGCAGTTGGGCAGGGTTTAGACTAGACTGGCAGAAGAATAGGAACCAGTGTGGGAAATCAGATTGGAGGAAACAAAACTGCAATGGAAATAGAGGGGTAATACACAAAATTACAAAATAAAAGTAGTAAAAGCAAACATCAAATAGCATCAGACTGCAAAATAATGTTAAAAAGGCAGAATTAAAGGTACCCTATCAATGTACACATCATTCAAAAAAGGTTGTTGTTTTAAAGACATGAATTCAAGTTAACAGGTATAAATTTATTAATTATTACAAAGGTGTAACTAAAGGGTGACCAAGATTGGGAATTGAATTTATTCATCATTTCAGAGGCATAAGTGAAAAGAAAGAGGAGGTGGGATAGTGCTCTTAATAAGGAATGTGATCAGTATATTAGTTAGGAAGGGCCCTAGATTGAAGGATCAAGATGTAGAAGAGAGGTGAGGAGCAGAAATGGACAGCAAATATTGACGCAAGTTTTTTTAAATAGGCCACCAAATAGTACAAGTAGTAATGTTGGGCACAGTAGAAATCAGGAAATTAGAAATGTATTTAATGAGAGCAATACAATAATATTGGTTGAATTCAATTATGTATAGACTGGGTAAACCTAATCTGCAATAATAATGCAGAGCATGCAATCTTCTAGCAGTATGATGAAGAACCAACTAGGAGTTGGGATATTTTAAGATTTAGTATTGTGATGAGTGTAACACATTCTTGATAGGCACTATACACGCTATAGGAAAGTTCAATCAACTGTGACTAACAAAAGTTAAAGATACCATTAGATTAAAGACTATAAAAATTCCAGAAAAGGCAGCAAACTTGGGGATTGGAAGCAATTTTGAACATAGCAAAGCATGACCAAGAAACTGATACCCATTGAGTTTAGAACCAGGCAACAACTTCATGATGGAGGGAGGGTTAGGCCACTGAAGGCGGAGGGGAAGAGGAATTTCATCATCAGACTGTCAATGTTTGAAATTCTCTACCCCAGAGAACTAGATAACACTTCAGTTTCTATGATGACATCATGAGATATGGAAATAGCACAGAATCTTCTAAAGCCTTGTCCTCCAACAACTGGAAAGATAAAGAAAGCTGCTTCATAGGAACACAAGCACCTGCAATTTCACTCCAGGTCACTCTTCATTGCCACTGGGTCAAAGCCATGGTGCTTCCCTCCCAGCAGCATTGTGAGTAGTTCAAGAAGCTAGTTCACTACCACCTGTTCAAGGACAATGATGTGCAATAAATGATAGGCAATAAGGGGCACTGTCTCAGTCATGTCTTTTTCTACATCTCATAAAGGAAAAAAAAAACATGCTCTGACAAATTCTGGGAAGATGACATTTTCAATTTTGAAAACTGAAATTACTTTGTACAGTTTTAATTACCATTGACTTCTCTTACAAGCTTGTGATTTGGTCTGGCAATTCCTTTTTCTCAACAGTCATCTCTCCACATTTTTAACTGCCTGGTTGAACGCTTGTTTTCATTAATGTCTGAGAATGCAAGTAGAGTATGATCCAGTCTAAATCAAAACTCAAACCGATTAAAAACTGGAAGCAGTCATGTCTCACAATAAATAGAAGCAACTCTTACTGCCCACTGAATTTTGAATACGTATATGTTTTGATCACGGTTACCACATTTTACACATCATCCCCGACAAACTCCACTTTAACCTATTTGATTGCACGAATATTTCATAATACAGAGTGAGAAGCTGCAAGAAACGTCCTGGCAAATAAACGGGACTCAACGCAACAAAGTGTCACAGTCACTTTTGAGTAACCAACTGGAAGTAGTGTTTACATAACAAGAACACCGCCCTCTTGGGAGGGAAAGGCTGCATGCCCATGAATAACAGAAGTTGTCATTGCTTCATCCTTACGGTCCGAGAGCAGAAATTAAAGTGCAAAAACCGTAAAAGGAACAAGACGCCAATCAGTCTCCTGGAGGAGTTGAATTCTTGGCGGGGGCAGTCTCCATTTATAAAACACACGGTTCCGTGTTACACAACAGGAACAGTCAGTCACAGGGAGAGGGACGGAGTGAACCTTAAACAGATCTCTAAGCACACCAAGTGTCCCGCACTCACTCAGTTCCAGTTGCTCCAGCAGGGTCAATGCCTCTGAGAAGCGACACTGGGCCAGCAGCTCCTCCAGTTTGATTTTATCCCGGGCCCGGCTGACCTCCGCCGGGAACCACTTAGCAATCAAGTGGCTCAGAATGACGTTCGGTCGCAGAGACTGACCGCTGGCCGCCTCCTCGCCACAAGCCGGGCAGCGAGGTCTCCTCCACAGGCAGCGCCGGCACCAGGTGTGCCCACAGGGCAGGGTGACGGGCTCGGCCAGCAACTCCCCACAACCGCCGCCACACTCCAGGAGGCCTTCGCCACCCCACTCCCCAGCGGGGACACCAGTTCCGTTTGGGCCGCCAGCTCTTCTTTTGAAGCGGTGCAGGAGACAGTGCACCAGGCCGCCCAGCTGGTCAGGCCGCAGTGACCCTTGGCCCCCAGCCGTGGGCCCGGGCTTCTCCCCGGGATGGACAATGCCGGTGGGTCCGGGAACAAGAGCTCCACTCGGAACCGCTGACATCGCTCGAGTGAGGGGCGCATGCGTTCTCCGCCCCGCCGGCGGCTGGCACGTGATCCAGAGCACAGCTGTCATTGGAGGAGACCGGGAGAGGGGCGGAGGCTGAACAAACAGTACAAAATAACTGCGGCAAAAGTTTCATAACATGGGAGAGGGCGGGGCAGGCGGACAGATTACAGTCTGACCGGGTGTGGCACAGACAGAATACAGACTGAGTGTAGAACAGAGTACAATGTGACTGAGTGTGGGACAGGCAGGCAGAGTACCGACTGACTAAGTGTGGGACATACAGGCAGAGTAGAGACTGCCTGAATATGAGACAGACAGGCTGACTGAATTCGTGTGGGATAGATGGTCAGGGTGCAGACTGACTGAGTTTGGGACAGACAAGGAAAGTACAAACTAACTGACTGAGTTACAAGCTGATTAACAGAATGACTGATTGACAGACTGACAATTTGACAGAGTGACTGATGGTGTGACAGGTTACCTCAGCCACCAGTCTCCAAATCACTCGAGTACTGCAAAGATCATGGGTGCTCACAACATTTCAGAAGTAGTACCTGTAGGGCTAAACAGCCCATGCCTGCTTACAAAATGGCAGACAGAAGTAAGCAGCCTGTTCACACAATGAAATACAATGGTACCTTTGAACAAAACTGCTAGAAGGTCAGTAAAGGAACACTGTATGCTCCCATCTGAGGCAGTTCTGATAAAAGGATGCCTTAGGACAGATAAATGACCAATTTTAGCCTTATTAATGAAAGGATGATTGTTCCAGTAAATGAATAACATGAGGTCCTAGATTAAGCCCCTAGGCAGCTGCAAAAGTAAACAGCTAAAGTTACTTCGTAGTAAATAGTTGTTTCTTTGAAACTACCTGCAATATTGAATAGACTCTAGTTTAAATATCCTTAATCATAGAAGTAGTTTTCAATATATAACCAAAATGTGATATAAGCATTAGCGGAAAAGCATTTAAACCTAGATGTGAAAGTTAATTAGCCTCAGGAAACACCTAATCTTATGCCCTGAGCAAGATAGAATGTTCACAACCCATTAATTACAATGTGCTAAGAGTAGAAGTAGCTGCACAACTTTACTTTTTACAACTAAGTTTATAATAGAAATTAACCTTATAGCAATTAGTCAAAACTAATTATCTTTTGTATTTTTACATATACAATTAGGACAGTGGGAAATATTAGAAGAATGGCTGAATTTGATAAAATAAAGTGCATGTGGTACAATGAATAATAGAATTCACACTGTCCTTAGAGATAAGAAGCCTGAGACAGATCTGAAGGAGTGTGGCCGGTAAACGAGAGCAAATCCAACACAGCCAATTGCCACTCCATCAGTCTACTCTCAATTGTCAGTAAACTCATTGGAGATGTCATCAACAGTGCTATCAAGCAGTACCTGCTCAGCAATACCCTGTTCAGTGACACCCAATTTGGGTTCTGCCAGGGCCACTCAGCTCCTGACCTCATTACAGCCTTAGTTCAAACATGGACGAAAGAGCAGAATTCCAGAGGGTGAAGTTAGAGTGACAGCCCTTGACATCAAGGCTGCATTCAACTAAGTGTGGTATCAAGGAGTCTTAGCAAGACTGGAGTCAATGGGAATCGAAGCCAAACTCTCTACTGGTTGGAGTCCTACATGGCACTAGACAAGATGGCTGTAGTCGTTGGAAGTCAGTCATCTCAACTCAAGGACATCTCTGAGGAATTTCTCATGGTAGTGTTCGAGGCCTAACAGTCTTCACCTGCTTAATTAATGAACTATCTTATAAAGTCAGAAGTGGGGATGTTTGTTGTTGATTGCACAATGTTCTGCACCATTTGCAACTCCTCAGATACTGAAGCAGTCCATGTTCAAATGTAATAAGATCTGGCTAATATCCAGCTTGGGCCAACAAGTTTTCAAATTAATACTCACTTGAAAAGGCATAGGTTAATTAGGGTTATTAGTATGGCTTTGTCAGAGGAAAGTCATGCCTAACAAATTTGTTAGAATTTTTTGAAAATGTGATCAAGTGTGTCAATGAGAAAAGTTCAGTTGATGTAGTTTATATGGATTTTAGCAAAGCTTTTGACAAGGTCCCACAAGGGAGATTGATTGAGAAGGTTAAAGAACATGGATTTGAGGGAAACTTGGTTACATGGATCAGAAACTGGCTTAGTAATAGGACACAAAGTGTAGTGGTATAAGGTTGTTCGAGCAACCAGCAGTGTACCACAAGGATCAGTAATGGGACCCTTATTGTTTGTTATATACATAAATGATATAGATGAAAATGTGGGGGAAATTTTAAGCAAATACGCTGACAACATCAAGATTGATAGCGTGATTAATAATGAAGAAAATGGTTGTAAGTTACAGGAAGATGTTGATGGGTTGGTCAGATGGGCACACAGTGGCAGATGATATTTAACCTAATAAGTGTGAGGTGATGCATGTTAGAAGAAGAAACAAGGTAAATTAGTATTTAATGAATGGCAGGACACAGGATAACTTAAAGGAACAGAGAGAGCTTGGGTTAATTATTCACAGATCCCTGAAGTTGGTAGAGCATGTGAATAGGACATTTAAGAACATATATGGGATACTTGCATTCATCAGTCGTGGCTAAGAGTATAAGTGCAAGTAGGTAATGTTGGAGTTGTACAGACCATTGGTTAGGCCACAGCTGGAGTACTGTGTATAGTTCTGGTCACCTTGCTACAGGAAGTATGTGATAGTAGTAGAGGGGGTACAGATGTTGCCTGGGATGGAGAAATTGAACTATGAGGAGAGACTAGAAGGCTTGGATTGTGTTCTTTAGAGCAGAGAAGACTGAGGGGGTACATAATTGTGGTATATAAGATTATGAGGAGTATGGACAGGGTGAATGGAGAGCAGCTGTTTCCCTTAGCTGAGTGATCAGTCATGAGTAGATATAGTTTTAGGGTAAGGGGCAGGAGATTCATGGGATTTGGGAAAAAACTTTTTCATTCAGCAGGTAGTGGGAATCTGGAATGCGCTGCCTGGAAGATAGAGGAGGCTGGAAACATTTTAAAAATATTTCGATGAGTACTTCAAATATCATAACATTCAAGGATATAGGACAAGTACAGGAAATTGGGATTGGAGCACTTTTAGCTGTAGTTATGTCAATGCAGACTCGATGAGCCAAAGGGCATTTTCTGCGTCGTATGAATCAATGAATCTAAGTTGCAAGTAGCCTTTGCAACATACAATTTAACCACCACTCTTTAACATTCAATAGTATTGCCATCATTGAATCCCTCACTATTAACACTGTGGGGGTTACCGTTGACCAGAAACTAAACTGGAATTGCCAGATATTGACACTGAATGTATCTGAATAGAACAAAGGAACAGATCAACATGTGATAGTACAGTAGCTATAGCCAGCCAGAGGATTCAGTTCAGCTGCTGGAGGATCATGCTGCATAAAACTTCTGCTGCAGCAGATTAGGATACAAACTTTGATGAGATAATCCTCAGTAGAACATTGATGGGTATGGGTTAAAATAAATAGGTGATACATTAGGAAATCTGACAGAAAGCTTACAATCACTATCGAGGAGGATTCCATTATCAACCTAGAACAGAGTTTTGCACTCAACCTAAATCCCATTTTACTCAGCATTGAAATCGTAGCCAATGCCGTTTGCACACTTGTGGATCATTGCTGATGTTGTATACTTCATCACATCGCAGCGGTTAACTGATGATAAACACGACTACAAGAACAGGTCAGAGGCTAGGAATAGCAGGTATCTCATGATCCTGACTCCCCAGAGTCTGTCCATCAGGGTAGTGAAGAAGGCATTTGGTTCACTTGCCTTCAATGCTCAGTGCATTGCATATAGGAGTTGTGATGTCCTGTTGTGGCTGTGCAGGACATTGGTTAGGCCACTTTTGGGATACCGCATTCAGTTCTGGTCTCCCTGCTATAGGAAAGATGTTGTTAAACTTGAAAGGGTGCAGAAAATATTTACAAGGACGTTGTCAGGGTTGGAGGGTTTGAGTTACAGGGAGAGGCTGAATATGATGGGGCTACTTTCCCTCGAGTATTGGAGGCTGAGGGGTAATTTTAAAGAAGTTTATAACGTCATGAGGGGCATGAATAGAATGAATAACCAACACCTTTTTCCCAGGGTATGGGAGTCCAAACCTAGAGGACATACATTTCAGATGAGAGGAGAATGGTTTAAAAGGGACATAAGGGACAACTTTTTCACCCAGAGGGTGGTGTATGTATGGAATGATCTGCCAGACAAAGTGATGGAGGCTGGTATAATTACAACATTTAAAAGGCATCTGGATGTTATATGAATGGGAAGGGTTTAGTGAGAAATGGGCCAAATGCTGCCAAATGGGACTAGAATAATTTAGGATGTCTGGTCAGCATGGATGAGTTGGACCAAAGGGTCTATTTCCATGCTGTACAACTCTGTGACTCTATCTGCAAGGCACAAGTCAAGAATATTCCCCACTTGCCTGGATGAGTGCAACTGCACCAACATTCAAAGAGCTTTTTATTTAGATTTAATTTATTTATTATTACTGAAATACAGTGAAAAGTATTGTTTTGCTTGCTCATCAGGTAAATTTTACATCAGGGTAACAGAACAGAATGCAGAATATACTGTTTCAGCTACAGAGAAGGTGCAGAGAAAGATCAACTTATAATATATGAGAAGTCTGTTCAAAAGTTTGATAACAGTGGGGAAGAAACTGTTCTTTAATCTGCTGGTATGTGTTTTCAAACTTTTGTATCTGACACCATCCAGGGCAAAGCAGCCTACTTTATTGACACCACATCTACAAACATCCACTCAATCCACCACCAGGCCTCAGCAGCAGCAACAAAAACAAAGTTGCTGGAAAACTTCAGCAGGTCTAGCAGCATCTGTGAAGGAAAAAACAGAGTTAACGTTTCGGATCCAGTGACCCTTCCTCAGAACTGATGGTGGCTGGAAAAATGGCAGCA